TGACTTCAATTACAGATACAGTTGACATTTTCCCTGTGTTCTGTATTTCTCACACACTTTCATTCAATTTCCATTATTTGTCTTTGTGTTTCAATCTGTTCTTTATTACTGACCTGTTTTCTAGTTTAACAATTCTCTCTTGTAATATTTGCACCAGATATTTAAATTGGCTTCAAGTGGTTTATCATTTACCACCTTTATATCTATTTTCTTATATATATTAACAGTAGTTATTTTAGAGTCTTTGTCTGAGGACTACATGAGATCTTTGTGTGACTTTTAAAAACATTTTTATTTTATATCTTGACTTAAGGTGATTTCCCAATGTTTCTTTTAATATCTGTTAACTTTTTTATTGAATCCTAGTAGAGTATATTAAAAATAATGAAGATTTACATGATTTATTTGTCACTAGAGATGATTTATTTTTCTTCTTGTAGTCAGGTTGAAAAAGGAAGATCACCTTCATTTGGCCTAAACTGGTTTATTATTATTACTTTTTTGGTAAAAATTTTCTTTCTTGTAGGGCATAGCCATTCGAAGTCTCTCAACTGATAGTCTAAGGTTTGTACCTTAGGTTTGTACCTATTTCTTTATGTGTACCTTTTCATCCATGTTTCCAAGTGTCTATTTGTCCTTATATATCCTGGCAAGGGAGATGATGAGTGTTACTTGACATTTCCTTTTTAGTAAGACCTGGAAATATGTATAGGGACACACATATGACATTATTGGGTTGAGAACCCCTGCATTCTGTTGAAAAATAAGAAACACATTAGTCATAGTTCTCTCAAAGTCTATGTGTTATAACTATAATATCTGGATCAGTGGGGCTGTTAATTTTCCTTTTTCTGTTTCTTCTGGGGTAATAAGAAAAGACTGTTAAACATATTGTCTAAGATTAGAGTTTATAATTGACTTGATATAATTTGAATATTCAAAAGTGACCACAACTCTATATATTCTGCTAAAGATATATTTGAGTCATTGGAATAGGGCATTCAAGAAAGCACGGTTAAAAACAATTATGGAGAAAATATTTCAAATATTTATTTTAGTTTATATTCTTTTAATTAATGGATTGCCCATCTCTAGAGTTGTAAGCTCTTCTTTTTTGCCTTAGCTATTTGGAAACTGAATGAGGAAACTTCACTGATCTCACTGTGTTCTTCTTTCTGTTTTTTCTTCCTCTTTCTATTCTCTGCATTTTCTTTAAGTTACTTGAAAGAAATGTCTATTCCTTTTACATACTCTCACTGGAAATTTACTACTTATACTCTGGGGAGATACTTTAAACAATGTACTTAGAATCACAGCACCAAAAAAAAAAAACACCTTGCAAAAATAATCCAGTGTCGCTTCTACCCGAATTCCGTGGATTAATCTGCTGAGGTAGTGCACTGTTTTCTCAATCACTGTCCTGCTATCTCAAAGAGATAATTGATTTCTGTGTGTGTTAATGAATTAAACATAGTTTGTGCTCACACTTGAAAAATTGTTTAATGAAGCTGGAGTGATAATTCTCTGAATCAAAATAATGATGTTTCTTTTTAAATATTACTAAAATCCTGCCATTGAACAAAATCTGGACTGAGAAAGCCATAGTACTAAGAAACAGTACTGACTCAATTACCAAGAAGCCTGTACGCGAAGTGATTTCATGCACAGGGATTGTTCATGCTGTGAATCAATAAAAGGGTAATGAGTCATTGTTAAGTAACAATTACAGTTTTTTCCTGCTTCCCTGTTAGTTTGGAAACTAGCTATAGTTTCAAAATGAATCTGAAATATTTTAATTCACCTTCAGTTTTTTTTCCTTGTGTTTTGGGGCTGGAGTTTAAGAAACTGATGAAATATGAGCAGCCCCAAATTTTAAATGGGATACAAAATAACTTTTAAAATATTTATAGTTTGCTCATAGATAGAGAGCAGGGTGACAACTAAGGTGTGTGGAGCAGGTTGGATGTGGAGGAACTGAGCAAAGTGGAAAAAGGACTCATGGACATGGACAGCGGTGAGGGAATTGCAGGGCTGGCGAGGTTAGGGGGTTCTCAGGGGACTAAATGGTAATGAAAAACAATAAAATAAAAAATACAATGTGAGTCTGTAAGTTACTCTTTGAAAAGGGGATGCTGTCACTTCAAATCCTGTTTGCTGTGATTTCCACTGTTTTTAGGTGCATTCAGTACCTCATTGTGTGGGTACCATAGGAGAAACAATAGTAACTACATAAAATATTTTCCTCAATGTATTAGTTCCTGGACCTTTGCACATGTGTTAGGAAATAATAATACTAACACCAATTAACATTAAAAATTAAAATAAAATTATGTTTTATTGAAAAAATACTTATACTTTGCAAATATATGTACATATATTTATTTTAATATATTCTTTCTTTTAAAAAAATTATTTAGTTATTTTTCAAGTACAGTTTTCTGTTTATTTCTCCCATCCCAGCCCACCCCTCCCCCATGCACCCCACCTCCCGCCCATTTCCACCCCCCTTAGTTGTTGTCCCTGTGTCCTTTATACTTGTTCCTCTAAATCCGTCCCATTTTTTCCCCTTAAATTCCCTCCCCTCTCCCCTCTGGTCACTGTCCCCCTGTTCTATATTTCAGTGTATTTGTTTTTATTTTGCTTGCTTGTCTGTTTTGTTGTTTAGCTTCCTGTTAAAGGTGAGATCATATGGTATTGGTCTTTCAACACCTGGCTTATTTCACTCAGCATAATGTATTCTTTCTATTGCAACATTCTACACTGGACTGGTTGATGTGAGTCTTCACTGGTCCCATTGTAGATGATTTAGGCTGATCATGAAACCCCTCTGGGTGGCTCATGCCCTAAATGTGGACATAAGAAAACCAGGATAGGTCACTTACTTCTAAAACTTTGTGCTATAAATGTCAACGGTATGTCCTACCTATAAAAATGTCCTCCGGAATCATTAACTTCTTGGCATAGAAGTGTTTTGTCCTCAGTAGCATGAACTAAAGAACAGATAGTGTTTGTTGATTTATTAAGTGAACTGAAAATATCTAATTAGGTATGACTGGTGTGTTGCACTGACTTGGATGTAAGTGGTCATAAATATACTTAGATCCCTGCCCAGTTATAAGTTGGCCTTCCTACAAACCATTCTGTAATCTAGCTATAATTATCTTAATTATATTATATTTATTGGCTACATCTCATAGTTGGTCAAAATAAATGGCAAGTGGTTAAAGCAATGCAGAAGTTATCAGCCTAAGTTAATTTATAAACCTTATATAAATCACATGACCCACTTTGATTTAAGAAATCTAATTATTGGCTAGAAAAATCAAATCACATTGTTATGTATAGGTCTAAAACCTGAAATTTTCACATCAAAACTATTTCTAGGAAGCATTTATTTTTCTAGCTAAGAAATATATGTCATGTGATAAATCCTTTTTTTGAAAAAAGCAAATTATTTAAATGTTATGTGTGTATTTCTAAGTGTTGTTTTTTCTTCGTTGCAAAGGGTAAGATACAATAATATTATGAAATTATATAGGAATTGCTTTTAAAAATGCTTCGAATTTTCCACAGGAGCCTGCTAGCCAGGGAGCCCTGAGAGAATGGAAGGTACTGAGAGAGACTCAGACAGGCAGCCCCAGCTGGGTGTTAGAGGAGGAGGTGTGTCCTGCCAGGCAGAGCTTGGCATCTGAATTGCAAGAGTGATAAACATCTTGCCAGGAAGGGAAATCAGATAAAGCTTACACAAGAGAACTAAGTAAATATTTCTGAAAACATACTACTTTAGGACTTTTTACCCTACAAATTATTTTTTTCTGATTTATATCATTCGCATTATCTCTATAAAACTCTGTGATACATATAATAGATTTTTGTCTTGGAATGACTTTCTTCTTATCTACTTTGTGACACTTTTAGACACATTTCTCAACAAGTATTTGAATAATCAATAAATAAACCATTTATATCTTATTTGGTGGGGAAGAGAAATAAAAGAAACTATGTAAACATGTTTTTCATACAAGCAACAAATCTTATGAGTATAATTATCATTATAATTATTATTATTATAATTATTAATTATAATTTATCATTATTTTGATTTTCAAATAATTTTTTTTTTTTTTTTTTCTCATTACAGGAACTAAAAATACCTGGCAAAAGTTAAAAGCCTAATTACAAATATGGCATGACTGTAGACATTTGTTAATCATATCATTTGATAAATATTTAAAATGCTGACCTGTGCTAACATTTTGTTAGAATATAAAAATGATGCATGTACCCTTCAAAGACTTACTGGGAAACACTAATGATAGGTACAAAACATACAATTCATAGTGATGCCCATACCTTATATTCCATGAGAATTAGGTAAAAATCCACCTTACTTTGGAGCCACCTATAAACAACCTACAGGAATACTGTTAACGAGGGAGAGACAAGGGGAGTAAAAATAATAGGCTCTAAACTCCATTCAAATTCTAGCATCCTATGACTATTGCAGAGCAAATTATCTGTAATTTTTACTTAACTAAATTATTTAGTTTTCATGCATGATTTAGGTACTTTTAAAACATTTCTTAGCTTGTGTAATGAAATGTTTTCAGTCGGAAGTGTTATTGTGTAATCAATTTATAAATGGAAAATGTGTTCATATTTTGTAACCTTTCATTTCTTCATTTTCTAATGAGGATTCAGGGGTGTCCAAACTTTGGGTGTTTCTGTGTCATACTGGAAGAAGAAGAATTGTCTTGGGCCACACAGTACATACATTGTTACATGTAATCACAAAAAGAATCTCATAATGTTTTAAGTAAATTTATAGTTTTGTGTTGGGCCACATTCATAGCCATCCGGAGCTGTATATGGCCCGTGGGCTACAGATTGGACACCCTAAAAGTAAATATTGTTACTCCTTTAGGTTATCTGGAAACAAAGTTCTGTTGAGTGCAACCCCTGGTCATATCTTTGACCATTATTTGTTTGGCGTTTTGCAGTGAGGCCAACAGTAATCGAAACCGATGTTTATGTGAACAGCATTGGACCAGTTGATCCCATAAATATGGTGAGTAATCAAAATTAAAAGACAAAACTCTGGCATAAATGTTCTGAGTATATACCTCAATAATGAATGTGTCACTTCTGATAGCTAATTCTGAATGAGTTGAGACAAAGTGTCCAGCTACTATATGTCAGGTATTAGGAACTGGAGTTACACATATCTAAGAATGTGTAGCCTTTTACTCCAATGTGCTGTATTTGGTAGGAACTATGCTAGGCAATAAAACCTTATATGATCCATCAAGAGTGGAACCCTGAAGAAATTCAGAAGATAACAAGAAGGACTGAGCTGGTAGTAGACAGAGAATGAAAAGGACTTGCTTGTAAAGGAAGGAGCATGCTCAGAGTCATAGAGGAAAAAACTGCAGCTTGATAACACTGGAACAGAAATGCACAATGAAGAATCAAACTTAGATAGTGTTTAAGGGCCTTATTATGTAAGCCATAATAGGAAGTTTATGTATTATATGAGTTACATCCCCTTGAATAAGTTAAATGCCTGGGAGCTTTTCATCAGGAGCATGTTATAGGCAGACTTATATTTTTAATAGATCATTCTTCAAAGAGTATAGAAGATGGATGTAAGAGGCCAAGCCAGCATTAGGAAGACCAGTTGCATTACTCTGAACATTGTGTCTTGAAGGATTTACCTAATACAATAGCAGTTGAGGTGGAGAAGACAGTAGTATATTTAAGAAATACTAGATGAGTGAATTCTTTAGAATTTAGAGTTTCATTGGTTGTGCATAGACTGACACCAAGGTATAAAAATGAGAAGATTTTGCATGTGGTAGAGTTATTAATTGAAATAGGAAATGCAGCCCTGTGCCCCAAAGACTAATGGAACATTCAGGAAGAGCTGTCCAGCAATAATTTAGAGTTTAAGCCTCTGGTCAAGGAAGAAGTTATGACTGGACATAGATGTAAATGAGGAGCAGAAGAAGGACAGGCAAAAGGAGAACATATCCTAAGTGAAATAGGCCAATCAGGAAGAGACAAACACCATATGATTTCACTCATATGTGGAATTTAAAGAACAAACTGAACTGACAAGGAAAATGGGGACAGATTCATAGATGGAGAGTAGGGTGAAAGCTGGGGCCAGTGAGTTTAGGGGGTGGAGGGACTGAGCATAAAGGAAAAAGGACTCGTGGACGTGGACAACAGTGTGGTGATTGCTGGAGGGAGGGGATATAAGGGAACTAAATTGTAATGGAAAAATAAAATTAAAATTAAACTGTTTATATATTTAAAAACCTCAATAATATATGAAATGATCCACAAGAAAATGCAGATGAAGTAGAATACAGACCTAAGGACCACATGTGAAAATGAGGGCATATAGAATACAGATGTAAGAAAGAGGTGCAGAAAACAGACATACTCAGAAAAGTCAAAGGGTAAGAGAAAAACCAGGAGAAGATGATACTGTGTAATCTGAGAAATTATTGTTCCTTCTTTCATAAAGAAGGAATAATTAATAATTAATTTTCAGTGTACTTGAGAGTCCAGTGAAAAGTGAATTAAATGGGGCCCAGTGGTGTTGGCAGTTAGGTGGTACTGGTTATCTGTGTTGGATGAAATTCAGTGGAATGGTGAAGGCAGGAAAGAATTAACAACTGAGTTTTTTGTCGCTCCTCCATTCTCAAAATTGGTCTTGTATCCAACTGACTTAACTCTACCTAACTAAATCCACCCTAAGTTTAAACTTTGAGAGAGTTCATTCAGATCAAGTTTGGAGTTTAAAGAATGAAAAATAGACAAGAACTTACTGGTAAATCACTTACAATATATTCCATTTACTCAGTTGAAAAATATGGAGCGAACTTCATGAAGAGATAGAATGAGCAGAAAGAGGACAAAGTGAAAAGATTATCTACTCACACAGGAAGCATGAACTAGGTGTATATGTTACTTCAGACAGCAAGTATTCATTTAAACTTGTCTAGCAATGAAACATGCATAAGTTTTGCAAAGTCTTTCTGAATCTATGAATGTTCATTCCTACTGTTACAGCTCTGCAAAGGTTTATTTTATATGTAAACTTGTCTAATCGATGGTACTCTGATATTTGTTAAACACAAATCTATATGTTGCTGTAAAGGCATTTTGTACATATGATTAAAATTTAAATCAGTAGACTTGGGGTAAACCAAATGACCTCTCATGAGGTAGGTGGACATTATCCAATCAGATAATAGCTTTAAGAGAAAAGACTGAATACCTGGAGAGAGGGGGGATTTTTTTCCTCCAGACTGTCTTTTACTCTACTGAAATGTCAACTTTTCCTTGGTTCTTCATCCTGCCCTGCAAACTACACTGTCCCTTTTCTCAACATGCCTGTAACCTTTAGATTTGATTTGTAGCTAACCATTATTTGGCCCACTATGATATTTGGCCATGTGAATAGATAGTTCAGGGAGAGATTAATGTCCAGGTGAAAAGACGAGACCATGATCAACCAGATTTCATGATGAAATTATGCCCCTACAATAATTATTTAGGCAGGTCTGCATCTTATGTGAAGTTTCTTCTATTACTTGAGAAGCAGTAACATTGAATTAGCTAGTTAAATGTGAGACACACAGCACAATTGGAAAGTTGGCAGTGTAATAGGAAAACTACACTACATAAACTTCCTTTATTATGGTTTTATTTAATAGAGTTAGAAATCAAGCCCTGGCTGGTGCAGCTGAGTGGATTGAGTGCCTGCCTAGGAATCAAATCATCACAAGTTCAATTCTCAGTCAGGACACAGGCCTAGGTTATAGGCCAGGTCCCCAGCAAGGGCACACAAGATGCAACTGAACATTGATCTTTCTCTTCCTCTCTTTCTCCCTCCCCTTTCCGCTAAAAATAAACAAAAAAAATCTTAAAAAAGGAGAAATCAAGCTCACTCAGTTCATCTTTGTTCACTAATGATGTTTTCTCATCTGAATTTCAAGGAGACAAAGTAAGTCTCATACTATACATTGGATCTCAAATGTATAAAGCACTATTTCTTATCTTTAAATAAGGTTATTTACCTAGAAGCTTCTGTACTTGTTCTGGGTAAATGAAAGTTTCTTTTATGTTTCTCTTGTTTATTTATTATGCACGTTATTATAACCTCTACATAAGAACATGAAGTACAAGAACACAATTTGATCATTTTCTGGAATGACACTAATTCAAGTGAGAGAACAAAATTTGATTTTTCAATTACGTATAAAATGGAACAAACTTGCATGACCTTCTTATCTCTGTGAGACACTTGTTAAGGATTAGCAATTTAAAAGAGTATGGAATTATTAACATCTGTTAAGGATTTGGGAAGACAGATTATCAAGATGTCTTTCTCTTTTTGATCCTAATTTGAGGGAATAATTTTGAGTAGAAAAATATTTCGCATTTCCCCAAGGGAGAGTTTGACCCTTTGGAAGTCATAACTCCTTCAACAGTGATTAGCACTGAGATAAACAGGCATTTTAAAGAAGAGCCTGTCCGTTGTTGCTAAGTGAGTTTCAGAGATGCTTGCTAAATCCCATACCTAGACACGTTAGTTCTCAAATCCCACTTTTAATGCCCTATTGGTTTGGAGTACTGCAGCTAAGTATTACCTACCAATAGCATGAAATTCCCTCTATCAGCCAATGTTAGATCTTTGCCTAGCCCAAATCCTGGCACATAGTATGCCTTTTCCTTTATTTTAAGCAGTTTCTGTTGTTTTATTACATACCAAAGTACTGGCACAACATACCAAATTCTGGCATATTATGTTAATTAAATACTCTTCCTGAGATCTACCATATCTATGAATGGTCTACTCATCAAAAGAATGAGACTTCTTTCTGTCTGCACTTAGTATTAAAACCAGAAACCATGTTATTAACACAGATTACACTATTAGACTCTGAGTGTTTAATCATTCATCTGCATTGAAGCTGGTGCTTAGATAAAGCATAATTTACCCTAAGGAAAAGGCATTTGGCTTGAGAAGTAGGAGGTTAGGAGAGGCATGGAAGATAACTATTGGGAAGCTGCCCAAGAATAGGGTATGTGCACGTGCATTTGCTTTAAAACATTTGAAAATAGTAATCTAAATAATCATAATAGAAAACTTGGTGAATATTTACAGCTGAATTTTTTATTTGGTAATTTTTTCTGTGATTTAAGCACCATGTGACTATCAAAATAGTAATATAATTGTTAACATTAAGATAATTTGCTTTTGTGCTTAATGACTATGTTATACATATTATAAATTCTTGAGTAAAATTTCCAAAAAATACAAAGTCACACTAGCAGTGGTAATTATTTAAAATCTTGTATTATCTTTACATGACTTACAGAAACAATTTTTTTAAAAGTTTTAGATTTTAAGTGTTGATTTTAAGTGCTATCAACTTACAGGATTTTTAAATAACAGATTCAAGTGTCTAAAGAAAACATTTAAAAGAGTGGCCTTACTATTTTATGTCATTACTCTTCTTTTTATCTTTTAGGAATACACGATTGACATAATTTTTGCCCAAACCTGGTTTGACAGTCGTTTAAAATTCAACAGTACCATGAAAGTGCTTATGCTTAATAGTAATATGGTTGGAAAAATCTGGATTCCTGACACTTTCTTCAGAAACTCAAGAAAATCTGATGCTCATTGGATAACAACTCCCAACCGTCTGCTTCGAATTTGGAACGATGGGCGAGTTCTGTACACTCTACGGTAATGCTCTTGAACATGTGTCAGTGTTCAAGCTTAATTCCCATACTAATGTTTGATCAACTCGTGCATTTCCATTTTTTAAGGTTGCAAGGGAACACGGAGCCACTCTCATACACTAAAATCTTCTATTTTGCAACATTTTAGAAACACTTCTCAGTGTAACACTGATTTTCAGTGAGGTTGTAAAACATCCTTAATAAAGGATTAAATGAATATTGATATGTAAAATTCAAATGTAATTATTGCCTTGAACATACTTGCCTATTATGAAGAACCCATAATAGAAAGATGATCATGATAAATTAAAATAAAAATTACCATGCTTAATGGTTCACACTCTGCTAATCATGTGTGTGTGTGTGTGTGTGTACGTGCAAGCCCACAGGAGCCCACATACATGTGTTGGTCTCCTGAAGTACAAATGTTCAAGTGTAAGAAGAGATTATAGTAAATGTATACAGAGATGGTTTAGTTCACTACAGAGCAAAACATTAGGACTTTCTGACTTATTTATGAATGTTATAATGTGACCACTTAAAACTTTGAGAGTTTAGAATTATTATTTTCTAACATATCAAAGTCCATTATTGTAGACCAAAACAATGTTTGAAAGGTAAAGAAATACTGTTAGTGCTTAAAATTATTTCTCATTTTTAATATCCATTTTTCCATCTAAATAGGTTGACAATTAATGCAGAATGTTATCTTCAGCTTCATAACTTCCCTATGGATGAACACTCCTGCCCACTGGAATTTTCAAGCTGTAAGTGATGAAATACATGATAAAGTCAAGAATTTTAGGCTTAGAACCTGTTTATTTTAAAATGTTAAAAATTAAATCATGCAATCTTCAGAAGTGTTGATTATGTTCAGCTCCCCTAGATAAAATAATTACCATGGCATTTGTTTCTTATACTTAAATCGAAAATGACAATAAATACTTAGTGAATATATATATTTTATTGTATCATTCTTTGTAAATTTTAGCTTTATCCAAGTGTCCTTCTTATATTTTCTTTAAATAAAGAAGTACTTAAAATAAGATTTGTGTTAAAATGTAATTGCATTACCATGAATAAAAAAATAACTCAAATTTCATTAATCTTCCTCAGGCATGAATTAACTGTGTTACACTGGATTTTAAAAGATGTTTCACAGATTGGCTTGTTGAAGAGTATTTACTACATGAATAGCAAACATTTGCAAGGTCTTTAAGGAGTTGGAAATGCTAGGTAGAAATAAGTTTTCTTATTTCTTCAAAATAAGAAATGAAAAAAAGAATGTATCATTCTTTCTTCAAAAGAAAGAATGACAAATGCCATCTGATCTCGTATGTGGAATCTAATGACCACAATAAACTGATGAATAAAATAGAAACAGAGCCAAGGTCAAATGGAACAGACAGACAGCTGTTTGAAGGGAGGAGGAAAGGGGCACTCAATGGAAAAAAGTGGAGGGATTAGCCAAAGAACACATATGGGTAAACCATAGACATAGCAGTGTGGTGCCGAGGGGTCGGGGGTGCTGGGTGGAGGTGGGCAAAGGTGGGGGGGGAAATGGGAACATCTGCAATAGTGTCAACAATAAAAAATTTTTAGAAAAAGAAGGAATGAAACAGAGAGAAATGATTATAGATTAGAGCTAAATAATATGTATAAAATCTAATATTTTGTGCCAAGAAAATAATTAGAATCTTTTTATATTGTCAATTTTATTTAATATGTACTAACATATTTATCCTCACATATATTCTTATGAAAAAGCTGTTCTAGATAATATGTAACTAAGCAAGTGTTATAAACATATAAAATGAACTTTAAAATTGTTATTGCCTGTACCTGTGAATTGTATAATTCTATTTTCTTTCTTTTGAATTTTGATTTTAATATAGCATATTCTAGAATATGTTTATAATAGAATGTATGAATTTATAAATATTATATTGCACTTCTTCACTTACGAAATCCTTAATAACTTCTTGATTTGGGTAATGATTTTCATGACTTTCCTTCATAATTTTTGTCTTACTAAAATGTCCTTTTTAACTCATCATCTTGTTATTAACTTCTCAATTAATAACAGTGAAATCATAGCAAAGACTTGGTCCATAAAAAACACTCAAGGAATAGTTGATATGCACATATTGGAAATTACAGCAATTATTGTGTTCGACTGTATTACCATATCTAAATTACTTTTCTGATATTTTGGTTTCTGTTATTGGGAATTAAGATTTATCCCTAATGCAGCTGGGCACCACCGGCATAAACATAATCATGTTTTCTTTCCAGGCAGTCTATAATGGCTATAGGAGAGAAGTAAGCTTTCTGCATTAACATTTCACAACAAATATATTTGGGAGATTTCACTACAGCTCCTGTTTTAAAAGTTATTAGCCTGCGATTTAGAGTATTTACATAACTGCCTCACTGATTTTCTTTGTGCCCACACTTCTGTGCACTATGACTGCACTGTATTGTCTCTATAGGATAATAAACTGGAATAAAAATAGGGACAGCAGGTAAAGCTCTAAAGTACTTATGAGAGAAGATGAAAAAGGGGAAGAGAAAACATTAAACAGGTCTGCCGAGAGGTAATGGCTTTTTCATTGCATGGCCGATGAGGGGTTCCTGGTACAAATCATGAATTTGGTTCAGAAAATTATGAACTTGACAGTGGATTCTGTTTCTCTAATATGATAGACCAACCCTTTGGTTGAAACAAACTTAAAGCTGTATATTTTTAAATCTTTTGAAAAGTGTATTAGCAATTACTAGAAAGAAAATGTTGCCCACAAAAATCCATGTAAGAAATTGAGGCCAGAAAGATAAGAAAGTCTGGAGCCATTTTGACCTGATGACATTTGTCAAACAAGATGAATTTGAACTTTGATTTTGACAGCCTTGTACATTGGAAATCTAATAGAATAAAATCTCCACATACGTTTTGTTTACAAATGGCTGGGCACAGTGTAACATGAGGCTTCCTCTACCATCCCCCTCCACAACCACTGAAGTCTAAAAAGAAAGTTGCTTCTGCAATCAGTATACCATGGTGAAATAACTCATTGAGAGATCTTAGTAATAAGCTGACCTCACAAGAATTTGCAAGCCAATTTTCATTCAATTTATTGGTCCAAAAATGTCCTTGTGAATTTTCCAGAATGTTGCAGAAATAAAAACATATCCTTTGTGAAAGAATGAATTCTAGACAGCTAAAAATAGGCAAAGGCATTTTCAATGGTAATAACTAACAAAAGGTTAGTATCCAGAATATGTAAAGAATTCAGACAAAAAATAAAAAAGGGAAATCTCAAAAAAGCAATGGTAAATTGAACAAGCAATTCTACAAAGAAACTTAAGAATCTAATAAAATATTTAAAACTTGCTAGGTTTCATTAATAATAGGAAAACATGGAATAAAATACAGTCTAAAAATCAGTAAAAATAAAGAACACTTTTCCATATCAATTTAATGAGAATGTGGATGCACTTATACTTTCACACTCCGGCGAGTGAAAGAATAGAGTAATATATTTTTTATGGAAAATAGATTGGCATTGTCTCATAAAGTGGAAATTATATTTAACCCATGATCCGACTAGTCTCTATGTAGGTACTTGAGGTCTGTCTAGAAAAAAAAATCCAGCCACTGTTAATATAATGAGAATAGTTTGTATGACATCAATGTAACCTGGCAGCTCAGGAGAGTAGACTGGAATGCATCTGCATGAACAATGACAACTTTGCTGTACTAATCAGTGGGAGGTGGTGCATGCTATTTGAGTGAGCATGTGTACTGTGTGGCTCTCACATTCAAAATGCATGAACTACTAGAGCAATAATTCTACATCGAATTTTGCATTAAGCTTGAACATTCCTCTGCGGAAACTAGTTAGGCGATTCAGAAGGTTTTCAGGGACCATGCAATGAGTGAAGCACAAATAAATTCTGGCACAGATGCTTCAAAGATGGCCGATCATCTGTTAAAGGTGATCTGTATTCTGGAAGGCCTGCAGTAAGTAGAACACCTGAGAATGCTGGACATGTATGGGCTCCAATTAACAAAGATGGGCAACTGACAGGGATGGGAGAACTTCGTAAGGTCCCAAGGTGCCTACTTTGAAGAGGAACTGAGGCATCATTTTTTTATGTACAATGTTCCTTGTGTCTCCTTCAAAAATATCCTATTTTTAATATTACATGCTGGATACTGTCTAGAAAAACCTTTATATCTCAGAGAAAGCGGTTTATATTTGTGTTTTGTTATGGATGTACAATCATGTTACTAGCAGCAAGGTTATTAATAGAAAACAAATCATTACAACTGTGCAATAATAAAATAGAAATGTTTAGTACATTTTTACAATGTAAGCATTTATTATAGCTACAGCATGGGTGATATGAATATATTAATTTTTCTTGTATTTCTATTTTTATTTTTAAAATTTTATTTTTCTAAAGTTTGGGGGGTGACATTGGTTAATAACATTATATAGGTTTCAAGGGAAGATTTTTTATGCTACTTGATCTTTTTACTTCATTGTGTGCCCACCAGCAGAAATCGGATCATCTTCTGTTACCATATATTTGTCTCCCTTTACCCTCAACTATCTCCCACACCCTTCTCCCTGGTTACCGCCATACTGTTGTCTATGTCTATGAGTTTCAGTTTTATGTCCCATATATGAGTGAAATCACAAGCTTTTATGCACTGAGTTATTTTGCTTCGCATAATATTCTCAAGGTCCATCCATGTTATTGTGAATGACAGTATTTCATCTTTTCTTATTGCCTAGTAGTATATCCCATTGTGTGTGTGTGTGTGTGTGTGTGTGTGTGTGTGTGTGTGTGTGTGTGTGTGTGTATGCCACATCTTCTTTATCTAGTTATCTATCTGAAGACACTATGGTTGTTTCTATGTCTTGGCCATTGTGAATCATGCTGTAATGAACATAAGGGTGCATATATCTTTACAGATATATGTTTTCAAGTTTTAGGGTAGACACCCAGGATGGATTTTTATGTCACATGGTAACCCTATTCTTGAATTTTTGAGGAACCACCATACTGTTTTCCATAGTGCCTGCACCAGTTTACATTGCCACCAACAGTGAATGAGAGTGCCCTTTTCTCCACAACTTCTCTAGTACTTGACTTTTTGATAATAGCCATTCTAACCAGTGGTATCTTATTGCAGATTTGTATTTCCCTAATAACTAGTGATATTGAGCATCTTTGTTATATGTTGGCTATTTTTGTCTTATTTGGAGAAATGTCTGTTCAGATCCTCTCCATATTTTCAATTATATTATTTATTTGTTTGTTATTGAGTTCTTTAAGTTCTTTTTATATTTTGCATATTAACTTCGTGTCAGAGCTGTTGGTTGCAAATATCATCTCCAATTTGATCAGTTGCTGCTTTGTTTTATTGAAATTTCTCTTGCTGTGCAGAAGCATTTTAGTTTGATACAGTCCCATTCATTTATTTTTGCTTTTACTTCACTAGCTTTTGGGGTAAAATTTATAAAATCGTCTCTAAGACCAAGGTCCCTGAGTCTACTACCTATATTTCCTTTGACGTAATTTATTGTTTCAGATCTTATATTTAGGTCTTTGAACAATTTTGAATTAATTTTTGTGCATGGGAATAAATAGTAGCCTAGTTTAACTCTTATGCATGTGGGTTTCCAATTTTCCCAGCACCGTTTATTGAAGAGGTTTTGATTTCTCCATTGCTTGTTTTTGATATTTTGGTCAAAAGTTATTTGCCTGTATATACATGGTTTCATTTCTGAGCTCTCAATTCTGTTCCATTGGTCTGTATAACTGTTTTTCTGCCAGTTCCATGCTGTGTTTTTAATTGTTGCTCTGTAGTATAGTTGAAGTCATTTAATGTGAAACCACCAGCTTTGTTCTTTTTTTTCTCAGTAGTGCTTTGGATATTTAAGGTCTTTTATAGTTTCACACAAATCTGATGAGTTTTTTTGTTATTTTTCTTTAATGTCATTGGGATTTGAATCCTTCACATCCTTCATTAACCAAAGCATTAAAAGGAGGGGTTGCATTTCTGAATTTGCAAAAGAGGATGGGGATCAGATTCATTAAAAGAAAAATGACTACTGTATACATGAAAATTTCTTTTTCATAAAGCTAAATGTAATCACACAAAAAACTCCAAAACTAAGACAAATAACTTAAAAAGGAAATGAAAAAAGTGTGCAATACTACCAAGCAAAAACAACAGCACAAAGACAAAAAAGAAGAACCAATGGAGGCTGAGAGCTACCAAATGACAAAAGATACAATGGTTACAGAAAATCCTCATCCATCAATAATCAACTTAAATGTAAATGGAGATGCACAGAGCAGCAGACTGGATACAAAAAACAAAAGCCAGCCATGTGCTGCCTTTAGGAGACATATCAAAGTGGCAAAGACAAAGACTCAAAGAGAAAGGTTAGAAAATAATTCTCAAATCAAATAACATCCATAGAAAAGAAAGGGTAGCCATGCTTATATTTGACAAAATAGATTTTAAGATAACAAAGGTAACAAGGGATAAAGATGGACATTTTTTAATGACAAAAGTGATACTACATCAAGCAGACATAACGCTTTTCAATATATATGCACCCAATCTCGGAGCACCAAAATGTATGAGGCAACTACTAATAGTACCAAAGGGAAAATGGGCAAAAACACAATCACAGCTGGGGGCCTAAATACTCCATTGACAGCTCTATCATCCAAATAGAAAATCAATATAGAAATAGCAACCCCAAATGACACATTAGATCAAATGGACATAATTGACATTTACAGAGCCTTTCATCTCAGAACAGCAAATTATACATGCTCATCAAACATTCTCAAGGATAGGCCGTATGTTGTTGGGTCACATGACTAGCCTCAACAAAATTAAGCAAATAATTCATCACAATCAAGTGGGTTCATTCTAGGGGCACAAGGATGGGTCAACACAGGCAAATCAATCAATGTAATGCACTATATTAATAAAACAAATGATAAAGATAATCTTATCAAGTAAATAAAGCACTCAGTAAAATGGGTATAGAAAGAATTATCTCAACATAAGAAAGCCGTGTATGACAAACCTTCAGCTAACATTATACATAATAGTGAGAAACTAAAATATTTTGCTTTAAAATCAGGAACAAGACTAGGATGTCTACTTTACCACTCTTATTGAACATAGATCTGGAAGCTTTAGCCAGAGCAATCAGGCAAGAGAAAGCAATAAAAAGCATCCAAATTGGGAATGAAGAATTAAAAGTGTCACTTTTTGCAGATGACATGATTCGATATATAGAAAACCCTAGAGAATCCACCAAAAGAACTATTAGAAACAATAAACAAATAAGTACGGTTGCATGACTCAAATTAATGTATAAAAATTCACTGCATAAATATATTAAAAGAAGGAAAATACAAAATAATGTATTCATTAGCGCATCCATCAAGCAGAGTTCAATGAAACTAAATTAAGCTACATTTTTAACAAATGCATATAAAAATCTATTATAAAAATCAAGTGAAGAATTATCACTGAAATCAGGTTAGTGGTTTCCTCTAGTTGGGAGAGAAAATAATGAAGTATGCATGAGGGTTCCAGGATGCTAGCAAGGTTCTATATCTTGATTATATGATTATTTTTTAAAATATACAGAGGAATTTTATGCAGTATTTTCCACTTTTGATATATACTATAATACAAATATGAGGAGGAATTTAAAAATTTGTATTTAGATAATGTTGATATTACAAGAGTAAAAGATTTTGATTTTGCTAAAATATATATTTTATTTTGATTTATTATCTAGATGGATACCCTAAAAATGAAATTGAGTATAAATGGAAAAAGCCTTCTGTAGAAGTGGCTGATCCTAAATATTGGAGATTGTATCAGTTTGCATTTGTAGGGTTGCGGAACTCAACTGAAATTTGCCACACAATCTCTGGTAAGAAGGAAACAAAAAAAATAGTGATATAGCTTTGGCATTTAAATCTGTGGGTTGGAATGCATACTTTCACATATTTTTAAAGCCAAAATAAACCTTTTTTTTTCTTTTAGGGGATTATGTTATCATGACTATTTTCTTTGACCTGAGCAGACGAATGGGGTATTTCACCATTCAGACCTACATTCCATGTATTCTGACGGTTGTTCTTTCCTGGGTGTCTTTTTGGATCAATAAAGATGCCGTGCCTGCAAGAACCTCACTGGGTATGACTTATAATATCATGCTACAGTATCATGGGACTTTTGCAATTTTTAGTGTGATAGAAGTGTAAAGTTTAATATATTAAAATATTTCTCTACACTAAAAAATCAAGCAAAAATAACAGACACTCTTTCAATATGGTGTTGAAATACATATATGAAAAACAAACAAAAAAAGCATTGCAAAGAGCTTGAAATTTTAGAAAAGGTTTCTTTTTTTTCCTACTAATAAAGGCCAAAGAAAGCATAAACACAGTAAAAATTGACACATGATATATGTGACACATTCAGTGATACCAAATCACTGAATTTCAACATTTTCAATCACTTTTCATCAAGATTTATTTTTCATTTTAGCTAAACCCCTAATAGCCCACATTTATTGACTGGTGTGTAGTTAGAAGGCTGTGAAGTGCCTTGCTCTCACAATAGTGCTAATGAACAGTCAACCGTTCTAAAGGAACAAGGAGCTTTAGGCTTCTGTAATCTGTAAAATGTGTGCTTAGTCTGTGAATATTTTGAGAGTTTCTTATAGAATAGCACTGATTTAGAAGGTGATTTGTAATTCATAGTTGATAAAGTAGACTTTGGTTCTCTTTCTGTAGTAATCTATTTCGATAATCCACATCATATAATAAAAATGTTTCTAATTACTATATATTTGTTTTAAAAATGATAACTTACATTCATGTATTGACATACAAAGACAATGCATTGATCAATCGATTCATTACCAAGAAGAGTGCAGGAAGTGAATCACATTACTGAAAACTGAAATGCAAATTACATAAAAGTGGCAAGATCAAACCTGAGGCACCCAGCTCTGTACTTTAAATGCAGCTCCTCCAGGAGTCTAAGCAGAAATGTAGACATAGCTGGTGGATAAGATGCGCTCATACCTGAATTTTGTTTCCTATTTAAACAACTATTATTTCAAATTACTTTTTGTGTTAAGGTAAATAACTGGTTACATTCTGTATATGCTACTTTGAACATGACTTTAGTATTACATATTTGTCTTTAAATGTTATTCTAGTATTTTTTTCCAAAGAGAATTTGAGTGAACACAAATTTCTTCCAATAGGTTCGTATGAAGGCTAAAATCATATGCCAGAGTGTTATAAAAAGAATAGCCAATTGTAGATTTATTTTTGCATGAATTAATGTTTTTAGTATTAGGAAATCAATTGTAAAGATAAGTAATATTCTACTTGGAGAATATATCTTATAATTGTGGGTCCTATGTAGTTGGGATATAAAGTATTTTTAAGTATACATATATATGTATATATAAAATTCCCTGAACTCATTTAATCAACACTATATTTTAATAAAGTTTCATTACATGCTTTTTTATGGGAGGAACAATGTTCTAGGTGCTTTAATATTAACAGTGAACAATATCTATAAAACCTTTATGTTTATGGCAATGTATTTATGGTGCAATTTAAGTGATGAACAAATACAAAAGCACTGAGTAAAATGTCGATGAGTGATAAATGTATAGAGAGAAAGCAAAAAATGGCTACAGAATGGCAGGGGAGTTGGTAGACATAGTGTTTGCTATTTTATCTCGTGGAGTCAGGCCAGACCTCTCTGAGGAGGTAGCAGACACGGAGAAGTGTGGCAGCTGACCTGGTGGGTGTCTGGTAGAAAGACTGCTCACGCAGGAGAACCACGAGGTTCTGAACTGGGATCTTCCTTATCAGGCGGAGCTTAAAGTGCAGGAAGAGAACTGTGGCTAGAGTTGACTGACAGGTGATAGAAAACGAGATTGGAAAGGTGGGCAATACTTAAATTATGTAAGTTTTAGTAGGTCTTTTTGAGGACTTGGGTTTTTATTCCAAATGTGATAGGGAATTATTGCTGAAGTTTGATCAGGGAAAGCCATGAAAGAAATATTGGTGAATTTGATTAATATCTCAATAAAATTTAAAAGACTAAAATTTCCCAGGGTATATTTTCTAACAAAAATAAGAGTAAATTACAAGTTACTAAAATCATAAAGATTATAATATCTTCATGTGTTTCAAAATTGAAATATGGCCTTTTAAATAACCCTTGGCTCAAAAGAGAAATCAGAAAATATTTCAAACTAAATTTGAATAGGTATTTAATATATAAATATTTGGAAGATACAGGTAAAGCATTGCTTAAAGGAGAAAATATAGCTTTATAATGCTAATATTATAAAGGAAGAAAGACTTAAAGGCAGTGTTACTGAGCAGAGGTCCAGGGGGTGAAATATTTGGCCCACTCATGGATGCCAAAAAAACTGTTACAGAACAGATACACTGGGGCCCCCGGACTCCAGAGGCTGGTATAGTAATACCCTCCGGACCCTCCTACTGGGCCCAGTCGCCAATTGTAAAGATATCTCTCAATGCCAGAGATTTGTGAAAAGGAAACAAAATGTTTATTTAATGCTATTCAGACCTAACATATTCATTAAAATATCAAAGTCCTTTAGGGTATACACCTACACACACACACACACACACACACACACACACACACACACACTGCTCCCTTCTCCCCCTGTCCTAACTCTGGGTACCATAAATCAGGAAAAGAGCACACGTTCGTTTTTCCAGGCCACTGGCACTGTCAGCTGTGTCGCTGTCCAGGCAGGATCTCCAATTAATCCAAAGTCATGGGGGCACCTTCTCATGGTCCACTGGCAAGATTTCTTTGTACCCATTTTTCCAGTCAAAGTCTCTCCTGCTTTCCAGGCCGCGTGGCCAAAGGGAGCACCCCAAAGCCTTGTGGGCCTCTTCTACCAAAGCTGCAGGGGTCCACACTCCACCAAAAGTGTGTCTTTTTTCTTCACCTGGCTGCAGGGATCTCCATTCTGACAAAGCTGCATGGCTCTCTCTTTCACCTTCCCAAGAGGGGGTCCTCACTAGCCCAAAACCGCATGGCTCTCCTCCCAATGGCTGCCGTGTCTGGATTTAAATCCCCATGCCAGTATTCCTCTATACCACTATTTCCGACTCCTCCCACGATCAGTTACACCTGCCAGTATTTCTGTATTATTACAAGTTAGGGCTGCCATCGTTAGTCTGGGCAGGTATAGCCCCATGTCCTAGAGTCGATCTTCTTCAAGCTCCCACGTAGGTGCTGTAACTTGGAGCACCTGCCCCCTAGTTACATCTTGGGGGAAATTGACTTCATCACCCTGGCTCCAAGCCTGGCCACAGCCATTTAACATATCCAAGTGACCCGCCAAAGGCTATAGATATGTTAAATGACGGTGCCATGGATTAGCTGCAAGGTTGTGGCTGTACAAAACAGCCCTGCATGTTCCTGCTCCATGTGTCCCTTCCCCCAACTCACACCTGTGGGGGAAGGGGTGAGGACATCTTATATGTCTCTCCAATATCGCTATACATCTTCAGTTCTGGACACCATTCCAAATCTTTTTTTTGCTCCCCTCTTGGCTGCACCCTGTATCAGCACTACTCTAAGTATCCCTTTTAAGAACAAATAAATAAAATAAATACCTCTGTGCAGGGCGGAACAAAGGTAAGTTTGCATGAAGCATCGTGACAGCTAAACACTGGATAGTCTATCACTGTGGAGGAAAGGAGGGATGGGGTCAGGCATTCCTCTCCTTGCAGTCCTCAGAATTTGGATGATTAAAACACAGAAGCACAGAGAACACAGTGAACGTAATGTAGCTATGGTTACCAGCATTTTTTCTGTGAATTACAGCAATCATACCCTTTTGTGTCCTTTGTTTATTTCTGCTTACAATATTGCCAAATCTGATGAAGGAATACAAATGGTCTCTTTGGGTCCTTCTCATCTTCCGTTGTCCTTGTCTCCGTCCCTGCCCAGGCATCACTACCGTTCTGACGATGACTACTCTGAGTACAATAGCCAGGAAGTCGTTACCGAAGGTTTCCTACGTGACCGCCATGGACCTCTTCGTTTCTGTGTGTTTCATCTTTGTTTTCGCAGCCTTGATGGAATACGGCACTTTGCATTATTTTACCAGCAACAAAAAAGTAAAGACGGCTAGAGACAGAAAGATAAAAAGCAAGGCCTCGGTATGTGAAAAATCTATCTTATAAATAGCAACTTTTCTATTAGAGATACTGGTTTGAATACTCGTGTTATACTTACATCCACTAACATGGGTGCTTGAGGTACCCTGACAAAAAAAATAAATAAAGTGAAAATAAAACTGGAGTACCTAGCATTGCCCACCAAGGAAAATGTATTTGTATTTTCCCTTAGGAAAGTCTCTTGGATTGCCTTTGTCAAGACTGGTTTTGGATGCCGTGAATTTTCCCCAAGTCATGGGTTCTTATAACTAAAACATTATTTGAGATCATTCTATAAAGATATTCTATGTTTATGTGAGTAACTGGAATTTAAGCAACTGGTGGTCCACACATTAATTTACCTGTTAGAGACAAAGATTCCTCTTTAATGTTAGTATTCAGCTGTGTCTGAAAGTCAGAGCTGTGCAGTTCTTTCCTGGTATCTGTATTAAATATACTCTTTTTCTCCCTCTTCCCAATCATGTGTCAGTCTTACATCACATCGAGTTGATATATTAGAACTGATTCTAAGATATTCAAGGATTGGATTTCTGACTATAATTTCTTGTTATAATGGTAATTACACAACCTTAAAGTAATATGTAATGGTGATAATCCCAGGCTTGCCTCTAAGTATTTTGCATGTGTGGTTTTGTCTGTGCGCATATGAGTACGAGTTCAGTGATTTGCACAAGGACAGCCCGAGGAACTGAAGGATCTAAGACTCAAACCAGGATATTTTTTAGTGCCAGGGCTCAAGTTTGCAATCCTTTGTCTATATTTCCTTTCCTCGGAGAACTCAGAAAGTAAACATTCAATTTTCCAACATTAATTTAAAAAAGTGTTTCATGCTGACTCCGGAAAATGTTTTCAAAGTGGATTTGTTCCAAAGTACCCAAATAAATGAAAACTGTATAAAATAGCTGTGCAAGGGAGGCAAGCTTGTGAGCCTACCTTAGATATTATGTAATGAGGCATAGTTTTCTATATTATCTCCTAACCTTGTAAATTCTAGGGTTCAATGCTTTTTTCTCTCCCCCATTTTGATTAGTTTTGTTATGAAATTCACCATACTTGTAAATTATATTTTGCTTCTCATATTATACTCCAGAAAACAAATCTTTGTGAATTTGCTTTCAGATTCCTACAGTATCCCAAGAAAGCAGAGCACACTACTGACATTGAGAACTGTCATTGAGAACTTCCAATTCACCTTGAACTGGAAGTTCACCTTGTAGAATTAACCTGGGAATTTCTCAAGTTCGCATTGTTTTAACTTATGCATAAACATATTATAACCCCTGAAAGGAAAAACCACCAAAAGGCAATGACATCAATTTTAATGCTGACTTACTAAATTTTAGGTAAAGAGAAATGCAGGTTTTCTTCCATTTTCTTCTAATCTAAGCCAAGCGCATCTCTGGATTTTCCACTTCATCATTTCCTCCTCCACAGCTATGTTCAGTTACTACCTTGAAAATTTTGCTTATGAAAATTGTGAACGAAAGCCAGGCAGTGTACAACTGCATGTGGATTTTGCAATTTCATTCTAAGAGTATAAATGTAGTTACTAATATTATAACATCGAAGGATACTCAACCCATGAGTGGCTGCAGCTAAATCACTTTGACTCCAGATCACTCGTTCTCAATCACGCTGCATGTGACATTTTCTCAAAAAGCTAAAAAGTGGAGTGCAAACTTTAAAATTATAATGTTTATTTATTCATTTACCAAGTATTTATTAAGGACACATGTTCTAGGCACTGTATTAGAATATTTATTTAAGAAAAAAATCTTCATGTTGAGCATTTAAAATTTACCATAAGCTCAGGAAACAGAATACTAAAGGTGAAAAGAAGAAATGAAAATAAAATGAGAGTTCAGGGTGCTAAATTTCAAATTCAAAAGTTAAACTTAATGTATTACTGAATAAACACTATTTTCTTTAAAACCATTCCCTAAAATTAAAGTTTATAGTTTTTTTCTTTCCATTTAGTTATGTAATTTATGATCTCTTTCAATAATAAATGACACTTTGAGTGAAAAACTGGGATAGTAATCAAATCTGACTTCCTTCCCCGTTTATTCATATATTATTGCTAATCAAGTAAATCAATATGAGAGCACTTATGAAGTATAGAGATGTCCACTTGCTATTATTTTTTGTTTTTATTTCTGCTCATTAAGGATATGATTTAGGTATGTTTATGTCAATATCTATTAAAAAATTAAGAAGTTAACTATGTTGGATTATAATTAAAAACACTTTTAAAATAACTGAAGGTCACAGAAGTGTAGTAGTAGTAAACCTATCAACTGAAGAGTAGTTCATATAAAACTAGAATATTCAGCCTATAGACAATTAGAAACATCAAGAAACTGTATTACCCACACCAGTCTTCTGATATTCACATTTAAGCATAGAATTTATTAGTAATCTCTCAATTTGATTAAAATGTAAAGTGATGGAGATTTATTTCATCAACCAGGATCAAGATACTTTGTAGAGAAAAACAATAGAATGTCTTCTCTGTTTTAGGGATCTTTAAGTCTAGTTATAGCAAAATACATTAGGCATGTAAATGCAAGATAATAAAGTGCAATACAAGTAACAGTCCAATGTAGAAGTACAAGGTAAACACAGAAACTACAAGGCAATTAGCAATTAGATGACTAATTTCAAATACTTTTTCAAAAGCAAAGTATTTTCTACGCTGTCTATAAGTAAAAGATACTTTTAAAGAAGATGTTCATATTGGAATATCTGGAGTTCATGCTCCAACACAGTGGCACACCAACCAAACAAGTGTGCGGTGCTGAGAAGAGCCGCAGTGGAATGGAGTGGTTTCCTTCCATTCAAGTCTAATGATTCACTCGAAGAGTCGTAAACATGCTCCCGATGGCAACTTGACAGAGAAGGTTCCGGAGAAAGTATGATACTGTTGAAGTACTTCAATGAAGAGTGAGTTGTGGTTCACAGGAGAGCAAATTAGAAAGAACATTTAGGTGACTGTCCCCTTATCTCTTGCTGCTTCTAGAATTCTCTCCTTCATTTTAATCTTGGCTAATATAATTATGATGTGCCTTGGTGTGTTCCTTCTTGGGTCCAACTTCTTTGGGACTCTCTGAGCTTCCTGGATTTCCTGGAAGTCTATTTCCTTTGCCAGATTGGGGAAATTTTCCTTTATTATTGATTCAAATAAGTTTTTCACTCGTGTCTGTTCCTCTTCCCCTCTGGTACCCCTATAATTCGGATGTTGGAACATTTAAAGATGTCCTGAAAGTTCCTAAGCCTCTCCTCATTTTTTTGAATTCTTGTTTCTTCATCCTTTTCTGTTTGGTCATTTTTTTCCTTTTACCTACAAAGGAGTTCCCATCAGACTGTCAGCAGAGTTTTCAAAAGAGACCTTACAGGCAAGAAGGGGCTGGAAAGAAGTATTCCAAGTCATGAACTCCAAAGGCCTACATCCAAGATTGATCTATCCAGCAAAGCTTTCATTTAGAATGGAAAGACAGGTGAAGTGCTTCTCAGATAAGATCAAATTCAAGGAGTTCATCATCACCAAGCCCTCATTATATGAAATGTTAAAGGGACTTACCTAAGAAAAAGAAGATAAAAAAGATGAACAGTGAAAGGACAGCAAACTCACAATTATTAACAACCACACCTAAAGCAAAAGCAAACTAAGAGGACAGCTAGATCAGGAGCAGAACCATAGAAATGAAGATCACATGGAAGGTTAGCAACAGGGGAGTGGGAGAAGGAGAAGAGGGGAGAAGGTACAGAAAATAAGTAGTATAGATGGTAGGTAGAAAATAGATAGGGGGAGGGTAAGATTAGTATGGGAAATATAAAATCTAAAGAACTTGAGACATGTGGTCATAAACTAAAGGGGATGTGCAGGGTGGAGGGGAATGAAAAGGGGAAATAGAACAACTGTAATGGCATAATCAATAAATATATTAAAAAAGAAAGAACATTTAGGACAAAGGGAACCATTTGAACCAATTTGAACCTCACATATGAAAAATAAAAAGTAGACTGATGTATGCCCCAAGTTGCGTTGCCCAAAAGAGTAGCCACTAGCCATATATGGCTAGGTTGATTTAAATTAATCAAAATTAATCGAAATATGAAATTCAATACCTTAATAGTGTTTGTCACACTTCAAGTGAGTAGTGGCTACCATTTTGGGTGATGCAGATAAAGAACATTTCTTTTGTGACTGACAGTTGTATTCGTGCTGGTCTAGAAAATGGGAATCTTAGAAAAGAAAACGAGCTGGTTTGATGGGAAAAAAGTGGTTTATGTCAAGTTGTGGAAAGTCTCCTGGACCATAATAAGAAAATTTATTTTTCCTGCCAGCTCTGGTAAGCCATGAATGTTTCTAAGTAAGATAGCATATTTGTATCTATGTTTCTGGAAGATAATTAGAAATAGCATAGAACACAGACTTGAATGGCAAAAGAGGCAGGGAGGTAAATTTAAAGGCCACACTAGTTCAAGATATAATATATTATGGGGAGCTGGACCTAGGTTATTAGAGTGGAGATAAATGTGGGACAGTTGTTTTGCTTTGTGTGTGTGTTTGCCCCCATTTCCTACCCCACAGGAAAAAAACCTTAGTTTTGATCAGTGCATAGTTATATGAATAAACATTCTTCCTTCCTTCAGAGTTTTAAAATAATGAAAATCTGTATAAATATACAGTTTCATGAACTATGAACCTTCTTTCCTGAATGGTATTGGGCAAAGCTCGCAGGAAGGGTCTTTTTATATTCAGCTGTCAACAGCTAATACTTATTGCTGTTGTCATTGTTTGTTTTGATTCCTAAAAAGAATATATTAAAAGTGGCTATAAACTATATGTTAAAATAAATAACAAAAAAGCAATAAAAACCCAGACATCATCAAAAATGTTATCAAAAATAATTTTCCTTTAATCTACGTGGAGTCCAAATACAGCACTTTAATCTAAGTGATACGTGAAATACAGCAAG